CAAGAAACTTACCTCTCAAAGGTTTTACATGTGGTTTAAACATTCTTTTGCACTTGTACACATAGTCCTATTTCTCCCCAACCCAGTGAAAAGCGATGCTGTGCTGGACAGATATCCCAAAAAGCCTTTTCAGCACTGTCACATCCTCACAGATGCTAATTCAAAAAATTAAACAAAAGCTTTTGAGTATCTACTTGCTCGCTAGGGTATAAAGCTAAACTGGGAGGCACAACACATCTCATGCTCGGACCTCAAGCTTTGGTCAAGTTTTTGCATTTACTTTCCATCCTCATTGCTCTCTACAAGATTATTCTTCTTAGTTTCTTTTGATGGGAATTTGATAGCAAGTAATTCAATCTGATCCAAGGGATCCATACTGGAAACAATCTCCAGAAGAGTTCCTCTCAACTGGTTGCATATACCAAAGTAACAAATTTTGGAAGTCAATTGCTTTTACTTGCTGTAAATCTGCCAAAACCTGACTTTCATTCTTTGTTATTTGAATTAAATGCATATTTTTGTGGGGAAGATGGACGTTATAAATCTCCCAAACAAGCTGTTACCAGCAGATACCTAATATGTATTAAATCGCAAATATTTTGGTGTGATCAGCTCTTCCAATTAAAGGTGTTCTGATTCTGCGAAAAATTGTTCCAAGTTTAGAAAAAGTTCTCTCTCTGTTTGACAAAGTCTTATTCACACATTTCACCTGTAGCTTTTAAAGAGAGGGGGGTGATAATTTGGTAGTCTTACAAAGATTCAGCAAGATGAAGAAATAACACGCTAAACCAAGTCATGTTGCTGCTTTTTTAAAAAAAATTTAAATAAATTGAAGCAAAAGAAAGCATTTTAGAGAAAAGAAGGGAAAACAGTCTTAGCTCTTTGCCCTTCTACTCATGATGCCAGGAAAAGCCTAACATTTCACAGAAAGAGCTAAATAATCATAGAATATAGAATGGTTTGGGTTTGAAGGGACCTTAAAGATCATCTCATTCCAACCCCCTGCCATGGGCAGGGACACCTTCCACTAGCCCAGGTTGCTCCAAGCCCTGTCCTATCTAGCCTTGGACACTTCCAGGGATGAGGCAGCCACAGCTTCTCTGGGCAACCTGTGCCAGGCCCTCCCCACCCTCACAGGGTGATTAACTTCTTCCATAATAATCGACAAGCGTATGACAAATCCAAAAGAGAATGTGAAAGGAGCCACTTGGATTTACCTCCATTCCCTCCCCTCCATGCAATGGCTGGAAAGCAAGGAAGCATGCTGGTATTCCTGGATACAGCCAACTGGTTACAGCACAGAGCTAAGGGAGCAGGTTGAACACTTACCTGATAATCTAGATTTGCCACACAGGTGTTAAATGAAGACCAGAATCCCAGATAAGACATGGAAGAGGAAGGCAGTCTGTGAAATGACTTAAAAAGGGTCAGCAGGGTCAGAGAAATGAGCCGAGGAACGCTCTTAGCAGAGCAGGAATGAACAAAGGGAAAAAAGCAGTGGCAGGCCAGGCCAGAAGATAAGAAGTTGAGCCAACCAAGGAATCAGATAAGAGGAGTTATGGGAGATTTTTTTCAACCCCGTGGGTGGTGCGATTCAACACTGCGTTTGAGACATGACAGAAGGATTTAAAAGTGGCTTGAAATACATTGTTCCAATAAAAGGTCTTGTAAAAGCCAAAACCTGAGCTCCACATGCCGGTGCTGGGAGAAGGACGGCGCTGCCCGAGGAGAGCTGTGCAGGGCAGGCCTGGGAGGGAGGATCAAGAGCACCAAGCAAGACGTCTCCATACTCACAAAAACGGCACCACGACCGAGAAGACGAGATAAAAGGGAGCTGCTTCTTTAATAGTTTCCTTTCTCCTCTCCCTCAAAGATGGTGGTTAAAGCAATGCTCGAGTTTGAGAGCGCTAAGGAGACTGAAAATAAAGGGAAGAGGTGGGATGGAAAAGGAAGATGACAAAACAGCTTAGAAAGATGGCTGAGAGTTGGGAGCAAAATAATTCATTAAATAAGAGACCAGATTTTGAGGAGCCGTATGAGAAACAAGATGAAAAGAAAATTATGAGGGGGAAGAACTATAAAAAGCAAGAGATGTCCATATTAAGAGTAGGAAATGGCCAAGCACACCTACTCCAGACAGCATCCCACCAAGAGCACTCAGCTGGGAAGTAGCACTCAAACCCCTGTGCTTCCCAAGGGTTTGCAAATCCATAGTTACTCCCTTTCCTGCACCATCAGTGTAGCTGCTCTTCCTGAGGTTCAGATTATGCCCTCAACAATAACCACGGACTAATCTGAAAGTGGAGACTTTGACAGGGATTACAATAATTCCGTGCAGGGGACATGAAATCAGCAATCCCTCTATGGAGCAGCAGGTACCTGTGCTGGGCCTTCCCTGCTCCAGGGGCAGTGGGATCACCCTGGTACCTTCCACAAGTCACAGATTCACAAAATAGAGCAAAAACGTGCAGTAGACTCACAGTGTCCAAATATTTACTGGAGCAACTGGTTTTAACACCAAAGGCTGCCGCTATAAAACTTGTCAGAAACAGGACAGATGAAGAGAATGAAAAAAAAAATATTCACAAAGTAAACAGAAAGCTGCAAAAACTGTGACTTTGCTGCCAGACAAACAGAAGAGTTTGAGCACAGATCCTGAAGAGGGCAGTTTTTATATTCTTGTCTCTAGAAGCAGATAGCCAAAAGACGCTTTTCCATTTTCTTTACACTGAAAGGAATTCGCTCCTGTGAATCAAACAACTGGTAGCACAGTCCTGCTTAATACAGAAGGACTTTAAACATTTGGGATAAACAATGAAAGCAAAATACTTTATATGATTAAATCTAGAGACCCTTTTTTGCTTGCTTGGAAGTTTTCTTTTTTTAACACAAATATTTCCTTTCAACTTTCTAGGAAATCAATTCTTCACAGAAATTTTTAACATTTTCTTTCTTTCATTTTTAAAGTTGTTAAAACTGAAACAGGAAACCCATTTTGAAAATTTTTAAGAATCAGTTCCTCTTTATTTATGCAAAGATCTGGAATAAAAGCACTGGGTCCACCAGAAGCATTTCTATCCCTTCTCTGTGAGCTGAGCAAAGATTGTAAACAAGGCACAAGGAAAAGGAACCACAGGTATTCTGTGTTAGCAAATCCCAGTGCAGGTACACCACAAAGTGAAACTGATTTTTAAATTCATACTTTGTGTTTTAAAATCGTATTTATGTATCTTTTATGTAATACAGCTTCCTTGAGTAACAACATTGTTTTGGCAATCAGGAAGGAAATATTAATTTGAGGATAACGGGTCGAATTTGTTTTTAACAAGCATATAAATTCTGTACAGCAACAATCATAGATGCGACCTGAAAAACGTACAGCTTTGATCACTATTACCAATAAGCACGAGGAGGTTGTTTTGGGTTGGTTTTCTTTAAATAATATCCTTAATGGGGTGGGAGGAGTTTGCTGGTGTCATTACATACTGTAGCCAACATACCTGACCAACTTCAATTTAGTAGTTATTAAAACAGAAAACGTTTTTGGCTATGTTTGATAACAAATAATTAGTTGCAAAATCAGTTTAGTGTTTACATAAATTACAAATGCAAAATATGAGTGAAATAGGAGAAGCTGTTGCATGCATTTCTTAGAAAAGCAAAATACTTTGCCTGCACAAACAATTCACCTAAAACTTCCATCCTCCCCTGAAAATGTCATTTAGAATAATATTTCTTTCAATTTTTCATTCAGCTGAATTAGAAGTAACTGTATCTTTGTAACTTCCACCACAGTAATTAGTTCAAATGCTGCACAGTAAAACCCTGCATCCCTGACTAGAACACAACATTCAGCTGATTTTGGAACCAAAGCAGGGGGAGGGTGTTAAATGGCAAAGCCCAGGATGAACTTTTAATGGAATATTATTAATACGTTTTGCTTACCCAATTTTAAATCAGAACTAACAGTGGCTCCCTCTCTTATTACTAGTTTTATTTTTCAGCCCATGTTAGTCACATAACAACAACCAGACCCATTGGCTCGCCCTGTGCTGCCCAAAGGACAGATGACAGACAGTGTTCCCTGCTCTGACATGCAGAACAGAATAAAATCCCAAAGGCCACTGATAGTCCCACTGGGGATCTTCCTTGGCACACAAAGGTTAGTGATTCTGAGTAGGCAGATGAGGAAAAAAGGGCAAATTACTTTCTCCCCCTAAAAAGAAATAGTTTTCAATTCAACATGAACAAATCTTAAAAAGACTATAACTCAGTTTTTTAAATCTAAATTAAATAGGAGTGACTGGGAACATTTTAAGTGCT